CTAGTTTAATCTAGTTTGATTTTTTTTTTTCTCTTTTTGGTGGTTCAGCAACCCTCACAGTAAAATGGAATTCTATTTTTTCTAAGAGTATGCCAGAATTGTAAAGCAGTCTCTGGGTCACCTTAAGCAGTCAGGACCTTAGCTGCAGCACATTCTCAATGTTCTAAAGCTAAACCACTGCATTCCCTTGAAAAGCTGGTATTATACAAACCAAGGTAACAGAAAAGTATTCCAATAGCTGCTGTTGACATCAAAGGCTTTCTGGCACATAGAAAGGTCTTATTATACACAGATAAGTTGATGCATATACAAGCAAATCAAAGGAAAATCCTCCAACAGTTAACATTTCCATACACATATGTTAACTTACTGTAAACAAGCATCTGTAGTTCCAGCTAACCTTATTAGATTGTTTTTGCAAGGATTCCCCTGGGGGGGAAAAAAAAAAGATTTATCTACTTATTTATGCCTTCAAAAGCATAAAGTACAGTAAATAAAAGAGGTGTGTAAATAGACATACCAAGTTACTGTTCGAGCTGTGGAAGTGACCTAATATTTTAATTTAAAATGGAAGACTTTTCATGCTTTTGTTTTTTGTCTTTTGAGCAAAACCTGGAGTAATTCAGACATATAATTCTTATTTTTCCAGATATATAGTAGAACAACATTTAGAAAGTCATGCAAGGAAGCTTCAAATGATGTCGCTAATGCTGTTATCTCTTCAACACCAAATTGGTTAATTTATCAAAGTTCTCTTATTTAGTTTAATTTCTCTATGAAGAAATACATATATATGCTTAGTTGTAACTACAAGTGTGGTATCTCCTTTCCCTCAGGAGGAATACCAATTAAGCAGTAAATACCTGATTTATCTAATGCTTATTTATCATTCATGAACAGAACAGGAAAAAAAATTACCCAGGAGGATGACAATTATGTTCTAGTACATATCCTTAGGCAGCTGAGATATATGTAGGTATTTAAGGAAACCTGCAGTTCCTTTATAAAATTTATTTGTAAATTCAGAATAGATCAAATCTATCCAATTTTGCTTTCCCCTTAGAATACTTTAAACAAATGCTTGAGACTAAACATAAGCTTTATTGATTCAATTTTCATTCTGGCTTTATTGACACTGACAATCTCTCATGTCTAGACACTGCTTCTAAAACTAAGGCTGGCATGGTTCTAGAAACCTATTTTTCCTTTTTTTAAAATTATTCTTGTTATTTTTGTTATTTTTCAGTTTAAAATTTGGCAGTCTCTTGCAAAAACTGAACACCATCCTTCTTATATCTGAAAGAATGTCTTTTAGATGTTCCTTATAATATTAAATCAGCATAATCTTATCTGAACCAAAATCTATGATTTTATATGAGAAATGACACTGAACAAAATTTAATCAAGTAAATGCATTCAGAAATTAATGTCCAGTTAAATTTCTAGTAGCTTATGAATGACTATATACTTAACCAACAGACAATATTCCATTCTAAAAATATTCTGGCAGACTTCCTATTTGCACAGAATGTACTCCAGTACCTTTTGAAGTATCAAATTTGTCAAACTTTTTTTTTGGTTTGCAAAAACCTACAGTTTTCGGAGGAATCTTGGCACACTGAAGCAGTCCCATGTCTGTACCTTGATTTGATCTGTTCCTTCTACCTTTTTCAGATACATTATTTATATCTACATATCTCAGAAAAAATATTAGAAATGCAATTTTCAAAAATTTAATAAGTACCATAATTAAAATTTCCCATATAGTTAACTCCTTCTGCCTAGTTTGTAATTTACTAGGTAATTATCATAGATGCTATACTACTGGTAGATAACTTTGTTTGATCACAGTGACATAGGCCCTTGGGAGTTGGTTTTTGTTTTGTTTATTAGAATGTTAGCACTGCTTATGTGTTTAAACAACAAAAAATAAAAAAATTGTGTGCATAATCCCATAGATCTGGTGAGAAAACACCTTCTAGTTTTTCCAGAGACTCAGTAGTGTAGATATATCCAAAAATATATCTATTGAAAACAGTGATATACAAGATAAATGCAAAATGGAAATGAGTTTATACAATAAATGGGAGAAAACACATCATACAATCACAGATTCACAGAATTCACAGGGCAGGTCAGGTTGGAAGTCCCTGATCAAGAAGAGTCATCCCAGAGCACATTTTGTATCCAGATGGTTTTTAACTGTGTCCAGTGAGGGAGACCTCAAAACCTCTCTGGGCAATCTGTCCTAGTGCATGGTCACCTGCACAGTATAGAAGTGATCCTCATGTTAAGATGGAGTTCCCTGTGTTCCAGTTTCTGCCTGCTTCCTTTTGTCCTATTGTGTGGCACTGCTCTTATTGCCTGGGTCCATCCTCTTGCTGCCCTTCCTTCAGGTACTTGTATACATCAATAATATCTCCTATCAGTCATCTCCTCTGTGCTAAAAAACACCAGTTCCTTCAGTGTTTCCTCACAGGTGAGGTGCTCCAGTCCCCTAATCATCTTTATAGGCATCAGCTAGAGCTGCTCCAGGAGCTCCAGGTCTTTCCTGTACTGAGGAGTACAGAAATGGACACAGCACACCACATGTGGCCTCACTAATGCTCAACAGAGTGACCTCCCAAGACCTGCTGGCAATCTTAAGAGAGTTTTGAAAACCTTGCTCAAGTCAAGGCAGAACAATATCCACTGCTCTCCCATCATCTATTCACCTCATTGTCTTATCATAGAAGGCAATCAGGTTGGTCAGGCATGATTTCAATGGTGGATCACTGCTGATTACTCCTGATCACCTTCCTCTATTCCATGTGCTTGACGATGTCCTTCAGGATGAAGTATTCTGTCACCTCTCTGGAGATTGAGGTGAGTCTGACAGGCAGGTAGTTCCCTGGGTCCTCCTTGCCCTTTTTGAGTACCAGGATTTGAAAACTGTCAATCAGATTAAACCAGTTTGCATGAGAAATTTAGGAATGCAGACAAAACTTTTTAGAAGTTAACAGTAAATCTAATATTGCACCCTAGAGCCTAAGTCAACAGATTTAATTGTTACTCTTAGAACTAGCTGAACAGAGCTCTTTGGCTTTCTGTCTTCACTGGATGCATGCATGGAAGTTGTTTTCTATTTTGCTTAGCAATCCAATCCACCTAGGTCTGGTTTTGAAAGTCACATGGTATTTTTTCCAGTCTCAAACAGCTGCTCTTGATAATAAACCTGATTCATCTTTAATGTCATGTATTTGAAATCTGTAGTACTAAACCAATGCTGAACTTGGAATAAAAATTAGTGAAGGGAGAACGTTTGTGCTGTAGTTTGCTTTTATCCTTTCATCAAAATTAATTATAGCAAAATAGTCAATCTTCAAATAGAGGATTGATTTATGATACAATGAAGGTAATAAACTTTGGTAGAAGTTTTTGTTTTAAAAAAAAGTTCATGTACATCAGCTCATTAGATGTACCAAAGCAGAAATGAGAAAATTAGTGATGACTGCTATGGTTTATTTATGTGGCATCCTATCTCTATTTTAAGATAAATTTTTTATGACCTATAGAACAATATTCAAGACTGTGGCATAACAGTTTATACTTGTTGACAGAATGAAGCTAAACACTAGACTCAAAGGCACCATATAAAGAGATAAGAGGTGAACATATACATGAAAAGCAAATGTAAAAAGGAAAATGTATCAGAGACAATAGGGGATTTGAAATTATTTGAACTAAACTCTCAGTGAAAATATGGACCATTCCAGCATGGCAGAGACTTCTGCCACGAGATAGAACAGGCTATGTAGCCTACAGCAGAAGATGGTTTGGATTTGTTTTAGTAATTCAGGAACTCAACAGACCAACTTGGAACTGTCTCACTTCAAGAGATGCTGGTTTGGGATTTGCCTTTTTTTCTATACTTTCTATATTTTTTGCACATATATTTGTAGTTCTGTAGTCTATTGTATTAGTGAGTAGTTTTCCCAGTGCTTTTCCATGGCTTTTCCCTAGGTAAAAAGACAGAACAAATTCCAGAACTCCAAGCCCCAGGAGGTACAAGGCTCTATGCTATCTTGGTTCTTTCTGGGAACCAAGGCCAAGGTCAGCTCTCTGAGATACATTCTCATGGACAAGGTACAGCCAATGCCAAAGTGGGGGGGCCTCCAGAGAAGGAACTTGACCGGGGGGAATTGCATCACCTCTTGTCCTCGTAACTGGTGATTTCTCTCAATTATGCTACTTTCCTAAAACCTATATAAACATACTCCTCCCTTAGGGGTGGACTCTTGTAGACATCTTTCCATAACTGCCCCTGAAGGATTTTAAATAAAGATCTGCTCTTATATTATCTCCTCACTAAAATTATCTTGAGTTTCATTTCCAGGTTGGGAAAAAGGTAACACAAGCTACACTGGACTGCAGATAGATTAACAACTTACTGTGAAGTATGTATATTTAAGTGAATGCTGAAGCCATGTACTAACACAAAATATTTTTCTGATTAATTTTATCTTTGTAACCTGTACTGATTTTAGCTAGGATAGAGTCAAATTTCTTCATGATAGGTCATATGGTGCTGTGTTTTGGGTCTGTTACCAAAACAATGCTGATAACTCATCAATAGTTTAACTACTTCTGAACAATGCATACTCAGCATCAAGGCCTGCCCTTCCCCTCAAAATTCTACACCAGTGAGGAATCTAGAAGTGCACAAGGAGTTGGGAGGGGACAGAGGTGGGATGGGTGACCCCAAGAGAACTAAGTGATATTCAATTTCATGTGAAGTCAGGTTCATCAACAAGAGCAACAGGGAAAGAGAAAAGGGTGGGGATTTCCTAATGCTATTTATCCTCCCAAGTAATGGTTATGCAAGATGGACCTCTGCTTTCCTGGACAGTGTTGAACACTATCAATGGTAAGGAGTGAATTCATTTCTTATTTTGCTTTACATGCATGCACAACTTTCTTTAGCTATTAAACTACCTTAGTATCAACGCACATGTCTTTTTGCATTTTTCCACTTCTCTTCCTCATCCCACAGCTGGAGAGTGAATGAGCATCTCTGTGGTGCTTAGCTGCCTACAGGGATTAAATCACAACAGACCCATAACTTGCACAGTCTCATGATTGTTTTTTTACATATGCATACCATACACAGAGTCTATGAAATCTTGCAAGTATTCAGTAAAATGTGCAATTGTTTTAGCTTCCAAAACTCATTAAATCAATTTAAATTTTCAGTCCTTTAGGTAAGTCAGAGATCTTCTTGGTTTTAAGATACACAGTGTACTGTTTCACCATATTTAATCTTCTATACTTCCATTATTCATCAGTGATTACATTTGTAAAGCAAATATCACTTATATTGCAGTTTAGTGTCACCCCAGGCTATATGAGAGAATATGACTTGCTAATAGGGAATCTTAGTTTAAACCCATTAGTACAGTAAGTACATTTCTTACTCAATTCTATATGTAAATATCAAACACCAATTTAGACTTCTTAGCCTGTGGGCTGGTTGATGTGGTATACACAAACACTGTTTATTCATACAGTGCATTTTATAATGTACATGCCATAGCTAAAATAGGCTAAAACTCAATAATTATTTTGAAACTAACCCACTAGATATTTGCCCCTGATTTATCTCTTCTATATCATGTAAACTGAAACTACCATTACTTGTGTGCAATCAATTTTTAGCCTTTTGCTTCTGGAAAATCACTCATTAAGTTGTTCATGCTACAAAATTTTTATCAAAACAAATGAATCAATTCACGATAGTGGGAAAAAGAGAACAGCAAGCCTTTCCTTCTGCTAAGGTCTGGAGACTTCCCCTATACTGGTGGGTAAGACGTCTTCCTTCCTGTTTTAATTTTTCTTAAAGATTAGACATTTTGGAAATCTAAATCAAATATACATTTCTAATACAACTAAGTTTCTCTCTCAGGCTAAACTATTGTAAAATATGGCATATAAATTTATATATATTACAAATATGTTATAAAATTTAATGCAGATTAAGGTAATTGTAGATCACAAAGTACCAAGGTTTAAATAGCAAAGCTAGAATGGATTTGTATGTAACATTACGAATCTTCTTTCCTGGCTCTCCACAGGTAGTCTCGGTTTCTGAGAAAACCCATTGTAAAGCAGTTTGTAATGGAAGAGGAACCAATCACAGTTCAACATTACACAGCTGTCTTCCTCTTGACTGTCTTTTGATACTTGACTAGCTCATTTTCCTTGGAGAAAATTGTTAGAATCCAACTACATCTTTTGCAACTGTAGTTCAGAATTAACCTAATGGAAAAAGCAGGCTAATTCCTAGTTCTGGTGGCATCTACAGATTTTTCTTCTTTTCTAGTCTGCAGCTCAGCACCTTTTTTAGAGGTCAGTAACTCTATCTATTAGAACCTTTCTAAAATTTTCTTACCCTTCAAAACAACTCGCGTTTTCTCTCAACAGTTTATAACAGACCATGTATTTAATCTATTTGTTCCTATATAGCCTGTTTTTTTCATAAAGCTGTTTTTGATTTCTTTTCTATTCCTATGTATCTTTTTTCCAATACAGAAATTAGCATCCATTTGCCACCCATTCGCCTCACTTGTAGCACAAGGAAACTAACGTCAAGAAGAGCTATATAATTACTTACATATAAAGTCATGTTTTATGGCTTGAACATGAAATACGTTTTAAAGCATGCTACAAGTATCAGTGAACAAGAGAAGATGTATTTTCAGAATAAAATTTACACTAAATGAGTAAATACACTAATATTATCCCTGTAAAATTCCCAGCAAGAACAAAAGTCTTCTACATAAGTTTATATTTTATTTTCCTCCTCTGATAAAATATATTAATAGCATACCACCTTTGGGTATGTTTTTAATATAAACAAAGAAACTAAATGAGATATCTGGACATAAAAGCATCTTGATATCAAAGCAGGCACTCCAAAATTATGGAAAATTTATTGGAAATAAATTTGTTGTTGTTTATTTTTTGGGGTTTTTTTAAAGACTTATAGAAGTGAATGTATTCTGTTCTAGAATTCACAAGGCAACAAAAAAACTGTAATTTACACTGAAGATATTATGAGTTTATATAATTCCATTGATATCAGTCCCACTCCTATATTTCTGAGTAGCAGATGTTGGTAATATATGAGAGTCACACTACCAATGTAAATAATAAGCATTGTTAGCTTGTTTTGCTTTTGTCTCACTGGGATGCAACCAACTAACATAATTTACTTCAACTGTTCTCTGCAGGAATCATTCTGTGTTCACAGTACAATAAGGCTTGTAACTTAGAATTTTTACTTGAAACCATCTAAAGAGAAAAAAAGTTCACTGCTCAAATAGTTTTTTCTCAGGGGATGATAAACTTGTGGCAAAACATTAAAGGACTTGTTAGTCACTTACAGCTAAGTGGTAATGCCATTGATTTTTAACACAGGAACTGTTATTGCCCAGACCCTTTTAATTATGTTTTTCCTGGTATTCCATCTAGTAATGCAAAGAAAATTCAAGCTGCAGTGATCCTGAAACTCGTATTGAATAGGAAAATATAAGACAGACAATTAGCAAGCTTTTTTTTTTTTTTGCTAGTCTTTGCAGGAAATAAAGTATCATTTCTCATGGTCCGCTGCATATTCATATCTTGCCTGCATACATTGTTTCTAGTTTTCAGATATGTGCTAGCTAAAAACTTCAGGGACGCATTTTTTATGGGTTGTAGGGTTTTGTTTTTTCTTTCCTTGTTTTTGTTTGTTTTCCCCCCAGTACTTATTTGATAACTGTCAACTGACAAATAAAGGCCAATGAAAGTGTGTAAATTTTGTCCCAGGGTAAAGGTATTATCAGAAAACAAAGAGCCACCATTGAAGCAAGTGGTAATACTCAAAAATAGAGTATGATTATTATAAATCAGCCTCACCCCCAGTAGCAAAATTCTTGATAATAGAAATACAAAATCCTTTAAATCAAATTATCTACGAGCTATGATACAAAGATGCTGTTGGAAATACTTTTCATAGAAGTAATGGATAATGGAAATATTACGTAAAGAGGTTCAAGAATGCCAGTCAGTGAAGATTTCAATGGGGCAGGCTAAAGACAAAAATTAGTTTTAGCATAGAATAATAATCTTTAGGGAAGACAGTGTCTTGATGACCTTTTGAGAACATGTCCTGTCTTATTTTATGTGGTACTAGGATTTTACAGCTAATACTCCATCCAAAATGCTCATAACAAACTGATTCTGTCTTGAAAAATCTTAATTTGTAATGAAATAAAGGATTTAAAAGATACCAAAAAGCATTTTTTCTGATTGTGTTTCTTAGAAAATTTTGTTATCAAATACAACAGCTATTAATGAGATGAAAACAAGATCAAATGCTTCAAAACTATTAAAATGCCATTAAAAAGTCATTTGACTTGTTCCTAACAAAGAAGCTTGTTAATCCACTCCAAATAAATTTGTTAATCAAATAAAAATATTTAAATTCATTTTAGTGCTTTTTTAAACTGGTCTTCATATTTCCAAAAGGAAAAGTAATCAAGACATTAGAGAAGATCAGGAATCTAGAAAAAAAATGACAAAGAGCCAATTCTTGGGAAATGAAAATTTCTCTTCGCAAGGAATTTTTTCACTCACAGATTTAACAAAAAAACCCCAAACAACCAATGAAAAAAAAACCTCAAACTTAATCTACCTTATTGTAGGACCCCAAAGTGAATGTGTGAAAGCTTACAGGCAGTAGCTAACTACATAATAGGTCAGCATTCTGTTCTGTCCTACTGACTCCAGTTTACAAAATAATTCCAAGTACATCACTGTTCCCATCACAGGAAATTTCTGCACCTGAAAGATGAAAGCAAAGATGACAGAAAAAGCTTCAAGGTAGAAGGCATCCAAAGCTTCCACCTTAAAAGATGAAATATTAACATTTCAGTTCATATTGAAAATATCTTTTATTGATTGAAATATGTTTTTACTTTGATTCAGCTTTTCATGTATAGCATACATACACTTACAGAGATAAAAAAACAGGTCACAATGCTATATAATATTTCTGCCAGAGAAGGACAACACAGCTGTTGTTAGATACATAACCGGATTAGAGCTAAAATAATTTTATAATTTAAAAAATTCAACAATATTTTAATTGACCAGTTGAAATGTCTGTTTGCTTATAAATCTATTAAACATTACATTATTGTTCAATATTATGTCACAATTTGTGTTGCCTTCACCTGTAACAATTCTATTATAGAAAGATAAATTGAACGAAATGGAGAAAAAATTTCTGGTTTCTGCTTTAAGTAAAAACATGGAATAAATGAATGTAAATAACCCTGGTGATCAGATATCCATTTAATTTCAGAGTGATATTAAAATTTTTTCCAACCATTCTAAGACACCTTTTTTAATAATAATATGGCAAAAAGAATAGAAAAATAAGTTTAGATTAACAAGGAATTGACAAGAAAGGCAATCTCTGCCTCATTGCATTTGGACACCCAGATCTCTCACATTGCTTCCTGGAACAAGACAGCTGAAAGTCATCGTTATTTGGATCAATGTAAGTAAATAACTCAACATTCAAAGTTCTCAGTGTGAAAAAGTACTTACTGTTAATGGCTATAAGTATTACATTTCTTTTAGAAATCTAATTTTGCTATTGCCATTATATATTATACTTCCTTTGCACTAGTGTCATTTGTGGTAACAAAATCAGATAATAAGTACATTAGTGCAGGTTTATTTTCAGTATTTTAATAGCCTCTACATTTCACTTTAAATTTGTAGGTACATATTAATTAAGCAGTACAGGAAAATCTCTGCATTACCGAAGTGACATCCTCTTCTTTTAAAGGTTTAAAATAACTGTACCTTTTTAAAAATAGAAGCAAAATAGTTAAAATTAGGGTTTGTCTTTTTAGAATTATTTAAAATTATATTGTTTTCCATATTTTTCTTTTCTGAAATCCTATTTTGTAAAAAAGTCCTGTTTTTATCTGTCATTTTGTCTACAGGTGTTGGCTATACACTAGGAATCTAGTACACTGACTCCTGCCCTCTGGCCTGAGAGGAAAACTGAAAATTATTTTGTGCTTTAGGGAAAAACAAATCCTCTGTCCCATCTCTACAACACCCTGCATATATATATTTCAAGACCCAGGGGTTTTTTTATTATTCTATGTAAACTGCATTAGGAAGTATTTGACAGCTCTCCCACATTTATATGTGTTGTACACCATTACCAGATCACTGTGCTGATCATCCTTAAATCCAAGTTTCCAGGCTTCCAAGCAAATACTCCACTGTGAAGTAATAGACTGGAAGGTCCATTGCATCAGTACACAGTGGGATGGGCAAGCAGCATTCCAGATTAAACCAGGTCTGATTAAGCACTGTATAGTCACACCTCTTTCAACCTGTTTGAAATGCACAAACACAAGAGCTGCAAGTTTTACCCGTGCTTCCCACCAGCACAAACATTAATCATTATGCTTAATGAGATACAACTCTAAGTAGAATTTTATTTGAAACAGACAACATGAAATATCCCCCAAATGAGAATTCAGCATTATTGTCTTATCATTTTGATATCCTTCCTTAAACAACAGAAGAGCTTTTATAAACCTAAAGATACTCATGCTACTCTGAAGCATTCTCTCATATGGACACTATCTTGCATTTCATCTGGAAATTCTTCCCTTCCTCTCCAGGCCCCTGATGCTTGTGTCCAGCTGCCTTCAACCTGGAAACACTTATTTTTTGTGACAAGTTTGTTTTTCTTTTTCACTTATTATATGGCACCCAGAAAAAAAAACAAAAACATTAGCTGCCAAAACTATTGTTGCTTCTCCTAAGAAAAAATGTACTATCTTCTTAAAACCAGATGACAACAGACTAATCTTCAAAGTTCTGTGTCTCACTTTAATCGTGCATTTTAAAATGCCAACCTGTTCACTTATGCCATCAGATACCACAGATAAACATTGACAGGGAATGTTGCCTAGTACAGGAACTTAAGCATGCACACACACTTCAAAGGTTGAAAGAGTGTCTGCCAGGGATTTTGCTTAGTCCAATTCTCCCAGTCAATATTTTCCATGAGGTTAGAGTTGGCTTAGGGTTCCAACCTCAGACTCTGACTGCTGGCTTATCTCCTGCTGGACTATGACTGCAAGTATTAGTTTGCAGATTCTGACGACAGGCTTTTAGCTAGCTTGACTATGAGGCTCTAACTCTATCAGACCCAAAGCCAAACCTAGCTCATAGCAGAGCTTTTACAACAGTAACTCCCTACCTTGTTTTAGCCTTACTAATGGCCCTCTGGATTGTTCCTTCTTCTTCTAGTTTCCCCCAGTCAGCCAACCCACCCCTTTTATCACACTTATCTTTATTAGTCACAGCTGCAACAAATTAAGGGCAAGGCTGTTCCTCTTCTTTGGTAATTAGTACAATTGTAATTTATCAGGGGTGAGGTCACCTGTAATCCCTTCTTCTACACCTACATAAATCCACCCTCTTCTGAAATGTGTTTAACAGAATTAATTCAGGCTGTCCCACAACAACAGGCTTCAGTGCTATTTAATTTGTCAATCTAAATGTAGACTTCTGTAACAGAAATGGAAAAGATATGTTTCAAGGACATTTTTCAAGTTTTCTGAAGACTGTATTAAAATAAGACTTGTAAAACACAGTAAACACATAAGAGAGAAGAAACTCTTTGCTCCTTTTAAATACTCCAGCTGCAGAAGAGTGAAGGATTGAGAACTACTTAGGAATGGCTTAATAAGAAATGAGACATGTAAATATACTTCTGTAAGGTCATATACCTTGTTTCATAAGTCTTGTTTTGCAGTAGAGTATAACAGAGATTTGTTTATAAAAGACAATCAAGGAAAATTTTCATACCCTGAAGATATTACAAGAAAGTATTTCCAACAAAAAAACTAATATCATTCACCTGACAGGCACAATTTCAGTACAGGCTGTAAAAGTCTTTGGATGCATGTGGATTTACATAGTTGACATATTACTGAACAAAGGATTTTTTTTTGTAATAGGAAAACATTTTTTACAATCATTTTCCAGTCCTACTAAGGACATTGTTTTGAATGCGTACAAATAATGGAAAAATAAATAGAGCAGATTTTACTCACTGAAACCAATATTTATTATGTACTCTTGGTATAGATGCTGCAAGATTCAGACAAGTAGGATTTTTTACAAGATGCCTCTTTGATTACACTACCATAATCATTGAATATATCATTTAATGCTGTAGCAACAATATCTTTTTCAGTTCACTCACACATGGATGTCTAAAATGCTAGGAATAGCTCACAAATAATATTTGAAAAGGTTATAAAAATATTTGCTGGCCCTAAAGAGCTTTGTTTTCTAAAGACTGTTTTCCTTACACACAACTGTAAACTTAGAAGAAATGTATTAAAAAAAGGTCTGTAAAATACTGAAAATATTTATTTGCCAAGGAGTTGTAGGGATAATACAGAGGAATGGAAGAACTCAGGGCAAATCACAGATGAAATGCAATTAAGAAAAAAAATAAATCCTGAAAAAGTCAAACTTACACATTTTAATTCACAATGCATGTCCTAATTTCTAAATCTTCCAGTCCAGTGACAAATGTTTATAATATACTGAATTTATTTGATGGTGCTGAAGAAGGAGTCATTGTCAAGTTTTAAATGGTGTACTTAGTACCAGGATTTTCTGTGCACATACTTACAGAAGATGTAAAAATGCTTCTCATAAGTCAGAAACCACCATAAAATTCAGCATGTCTCTTCCAGTAGATGTTTAACGAGAGACAAACCGTGCTGCCTGTATGAGAATGCTGCAGTTCTGCACCGTGAACTAAGGATGATCGTAATGCTCCCCACATAATTAAGCAAGCTGCAGGGTCTTTCACTGTTGTGAACTGAGTGTTCCACACAATGTAAGCACAAACGGTACTTCTGCCAACAACGGCTATACCACTTTCTTTAGTAGCTCATTTTCAAGTATGACCATTTTATTCCAATAACTCTTTAAAGCACTATGCCTTATGATAAAAGAAACAGTTAACTTGAAGTGGACATTCTTGGGAGTCTATAATGCTATTTTCTAAAGGTTGTAATCAAAACAATAATAGAAAGTCTGGAAACAATATGGAAAGTCTACCTATTTCACTTTTAAGGTAATGAATACTTCAATTATTCATTGACTGCATAACCTTCCTTGAATTCTTAAATGCTTATTTTCAAAGCTATTTCACATTTATAAGGAACTGCTTTCACTAGTATTTATTTGCTTTCCTTTTGTTGTTTTGGACTTCACAACAGCAGCAGGGAAAAAAACATTTACCCGTTTACCTTGAATAGTGTACTCAATTTGCTTTTAAGGTCTGCTAAATATTTTATGTAGACTTACTTAATAGTTGTTTTTGAAACTATTGTATTACATATTTTTTACACAGGTGTATTCTAGCTCAAGGTTTTAGGGCTAAAGATACCATCTAACTGTATTTTAGGAGTGATGTTAGTAGAATTCACATTTAGGATTATGAAAATCATCTTTTCATTAGACTCATCCAAAATTGTGGCTCTTAAAAAATAGAACAGATGACCTGAATTATATTCAGACTATAATGTCTGTAAATAGTGCAAAGAACTATACTAAATGGACAGTGCTGCTAAAAAATAATTCTGTAAAGAATACCATCAAAATTAATATGTCCATGTAGATTGCATAAAATATTTATTTGAACAGATCACAAAGAAACACATTTGTCATTGCTGTTTGACACCTATGGATCAGGGACAAGTCTCACCCTGAGAAGGGCAGACATAACTTTGATTGGCTGTCAGTGGAGAAACCTGAGACATTAATGTTGCTTCAATTTAAGTAGCAGAAGGATTAATGATTCAAGAATATTGTGTATGTGTATGCTATTAAACAAAAATTTATGTAGGATCTTAAGTGATATTTTTAGTCAATGATTTTTCTTAATCACTGTCTTTGAAAAATAAAAATGACACTTCACCAAGCCTGGAAAAATCTAATGAAGTTCTGAAAAATAAATATTATATCACCTGATGACAGCTTTAAAGATGAGAAAACCGAATTAGAAACCCTGGGCTAATAAAATATGACAAGGCATCAGACTGCAACCAGAGATCCCGCAGCACATTAAAAAAAGAAAGAGATGAAGCAAGACAGTCTAATAAATATAATATGTTTCCTCTTCTTCTCTTTCTTCTTTGTGCACAGGTTTTCTCTCTTGTCATGAATATTTAAAGAGGAAAGCAGTAAAAGTATCCCAGTTGCCCATGTTCAGACTTATGTCTGTCTTCTTAAAGGTTTAGTGTGAAACACTGCGGCTTATACAATTATAGGGTAATAATAATAATAATAATAACAACAACAACAATAGTTAAGAGTTATTAACAAGGAATTGGTCAATAACTTGATCATAATTGGACTGCTGGGGAGAAAGGAGGTACATTTTTATTGTAAATAATAAATATGTGAGTGTAACAGCATTATGCTCATTTTCAAACCCAACTTAGAATTCTTACCAAAAATTTGTTAAACTTTTAGTTGAAATGATTGGAAGGTACTTAACTGTCTCACTCTTTATCATTCTCTCTCACTCTTTGCTAAATTATTTATTTTAATTTCTTGGCTTTATTTACAACCCACTTCAAGGAAGAATATTTTTTCATAAGTTTAGCAACTTTCACTGAAATATGTGTTGATCTATAAATAAAATATATAAATCTTGATGTGCTGCTGTTTAGCCAGTTGAGTTCTAAAATTTCAGATTTTCAGAACTATATAGATTAGTACATTAATTCATGATTCAGTGTTTTGCTGAATATGAATTTAAAAAATTGTGACTTATTTTAATACAGTGTATAATACTATATTTTCATCTGGAATGTTTGTTATTTCTTATCAGGAAAGGACAAAATAACAAAAATCACAGCACACACTCCATTAAGATGCCCTTTCTTATTTCAAGTATCCTGTTGCTTTTGTGCCTTTAACACTGAGAATTCTAAAGCAATAGTCCTTTCTTAGAGTCTTATACTAGGATCCTCATTATCTACAATCCTGAGAACCTCTTCTGTCCATCCATAACATAGACAGAGTGAGCCTTTATCAAAATAAAACTGGACTGAGGTCATTTTTTCACATAGTGAAATGTTAGAAAATGACAGAATTTACAAGATACAAACATGCACACATGAACACACCCATACAATATAATTGCTCTCCCTTTTATGCAGTAGATTTCACTCTTAAATCACATAACCACTTATTCTTATACACCTCCCAACAAAATATATGCTTCTACTCCTATACACTCTAGATTATGATAATTTGATAAGAAGCTAGCAAGCCTTTATTTTTTTCTTCATTACTGCATAGTTTACACCAGTTGCTATTATTTAGTCTACACTATTTGTGTATTTGTACACTATCCTTAAAGGTGGGACTAATAATTTTCATATCGACCTTTACGGCACTCACTTCAACATGTGAATTCTTCACAGCTCTAATTAACACATCTCATGATATGTGTCTTTTCACAGGTCTCTGAGATTAAACAATACTGTTATTCCCACTCTATAGTTTCAGGGCTTCAGCTCTCATCTACTACCCTCAATTATATAAGTACAAAAGGTATATAAGAACATGATTTCTGATTTCAGTGGAAATGAGGTATTTGAATAGTCAATGAAAATCTGTTTAGCATTGCCCTTAGAAGTGACAAGAAGTTTTGAGAAAACTAGCTTCAATTAAATATATATATACATATATATATATATATAAATTCACATAATATTATGTGTAATACAAATAAAATCTTAAAAAAAAAAAGAAATAGAAAGCTCATTCCCATGGAATTTATCACAATACGTGTCTTTGGCCAAATTTTATATTATTGGAGGAACTTGCCTGCTTTGCTAGTTAACAGAAAAAAGACAATACAGTTTTTTTTATGCATTCCATGCATATGTGTATTTACAGCTTAAATATATGTACAAACACATCTAGGTATCTGAAATTGAAAGATGACTATGTAGCAATATTTAATATTTTAGAATATACACTGAAATAAATACATTACATCTTTAAGGAGACTAGTTGGATTAATTGGTGTGTCTATGTGCTAAGATATATCTTTAAATGTTGATTATATTATATGTTCTTAGCCTTACAGATCTTCTCAATCTGGCCAAAGGAAATACTTAATTAAGCTGTCCAATTAAATGTATCTGAGATCTTTGTGCAGGACTGTTATATGCATGAGAGGTATTGAAAATAC